GTGGAGGAGCTCCCCCCCCAGGGAGGAGCTGCAGCCCCAACTGGCCAGAGAGAAGGGGGCCAGGAGGCTGCAACAGGCTGGGGAGGCTTCCAGGGCTGCTGGTCAGTGAAGACAGGTCACCTGTTGAAAAATGAGACAGGTCTCTCCCCAGGCAAACCAATTAGGCAGAACAAACCCTACTATTCTCTAGGCCTTACCCAAGTGGTCAGTCAAGACTTTCTTCCCCACTTTTTACTACTTCTCTTTCAGACTCACCCAGCAGGCTGGCACTCAGCAGAGGGCTAAGGAGTTGGGGGGGTCTCCCTGAGTTGGAGGGGGCCTTGCCCAGAGGGGAGGCCCCCGGGTCAGTAGTTGCCATGGTGACACTGGAGGTAGGTGGTCCAGGTTGGGGAGCACTCAGGACACAGGGCTAAGGAAAGACAAGTTACAGCACTTACATATGCAAGGTACTTGATAGACTTACAGTACTTTCATATACAGGATCTGACTGAAGCCTCAAGCGATACAGGCCATGTTTACTAAATAGACTCTATTCTCACAGCTATCCCAATTCCAGCCAAAGGCAAGTCCTCCCTAGAACTCCTAAGAGCCCAGGCATGACACTGAAAGGCTTTCATTCCCAGTTCCCATGTTTGCTTCTACCTCTTGTTCTATCCCATCCACTCATCCCCTATCCTCACCTGGGGGGGTGTCCCCGAGGGGGGATCCAGGCTGGCAGCCAGCAGCGCAGAATTTAAAGCTATGAGGGTAGGGGGGGCTGAAAGTGGGGGGAAAAGTAGAGGGGGCAGGTCTCCCAAACCTGAAAATGGCTCCCCACTTGGACCCCCAGTTCCCTCTGAAGATCCCTCCCCATCTCCAGCTGTGGGGCCCAGGGCCAAAAGGGGCAGAAAAGAGGCAAGGAGGTTGCTAGGGGGTGCAGAAGGAGGTGACAGAAGCTCTGAGGAAGGTGGTGGGAGCAAGGAAGCCACCAAAAGCGAGGGCCCATCAGGCTCGCCTGAGGCTAGGGGAGGGCCAGGTCCTCCTGGTGGGGGTAGCAGGGGCTCAGGGGGAGGCTGTCCTCCACCCCCAGCGAGCACACCAAATAAACTGTGGCTGAGCAGTGGAGAGGGTGGAGGCTGCCCCAGACTCAGAGGGAGAGGCAGGGCCCCCAGCACCCCTGGGAAGCCAGCTCCACTCAGTGCCAGGCCCTGCTCAGGGCTAGGGAAAGGGAAAGCCTCCCCACCAGCCAAGGGAGGCAGAGGGCAGGCTGGGCCCGCCCCCATACCCAGCCCTTCAGATGGGCTTTGAAGCACAGGGCTGGGGACTATGGGGGCTTTGGAGGCAGCTGGTGGGGCAGGGGCACCTGTAAAAGAAGAGAAAGATTCAGCTCAAGGGAGTCCCTTTCCCAGCCACCAAAGAACCCAAACTCCTTGCCCTCAGCCCAACCACCAAAAAGTGCTAAAATTTCATCTAAATGCCCTGGCTGCCTCCATTCCCCCAAGCTAAAGAAGGGCTCCACAACACTCACATACCTGGCACACTGCTGAGGCTGCCACTGGTGGTCCCAGGCAGGGAGGGCTGGATAGGGTGCCTGGGCTGGGGAGGGCTCCCTGAGGAGAGGGTTGGGGGAGGGGGAAGGTGTGCATCTGACCCCAAAAGGTTAAAGCTTCCATCAGAGTGGGAAGGGCCAGGAGTGGGAAGTCCCAGCAGGGACAGTACAGAAGGGAGAATCGGTTGGGATGGTTCTGGAAAAGGAAAGTGCTGGGGTACAGGAGCAGGGGCCCGAGGACGGCTCCGTCTAGGGGTCTGAGGGCTTCCCCCTTCTAGCAATCGCAAGACAGTTGGAGGTCTGCGGGATCGACGCTGAGAGGGATGGGGCGATGAGGGATGAGAAGCAGAGGGTGCCTGGGCACGGGGCCTTCGGCCCTGTAAAGTGCTGGGAGGGGGTAGCAGGGGATGCTGTGCCTTGGCCGCTGCAGAAAGTAGGCTGCTAGCAAGAAAGGGGGGTGCCCCAGGCCCCTCCACCGTGGGATCCCCTCCCAGGGTTCCCAGGACAAGGGGCAGGTGCATAGTGGCTGAAGACACTGGTGGCTGAGTGGCGGGACCAGAGGGGCCAAGGGGGACAGGGAGATTATTGCTCGGGGGTAGGGGAGGGGGTGTTAAGGCATCACTACAGTGGAAGATAGGAGGGTCTGAGGGTGGTGAGGAAGAGGCAAGAGGGGTTGGAGGACAGCCTAGGTCAGAGGGCACCAGACTGGACCGGAGGGCAGCTCCCCAGTTGTATGAGGGGGCATTGAGGCTGATAGCAGGTGGAGGAGGTGGGGCTGGAGAAGGGGCATTGCCCCTCGGGAGGAAACGGGGGCTGCTGCTGCCCCCAGAGGAGACGGGGTCAGGAAGCCTTGGTGGCTGGAAGAGCCCCCCAGGGCCCACTAGAGAGGGGAAGGCCTGGGGAACTGATGGTGGCTCTTGGGGAAGGGAGCCAAGACCCCCATTAAGTGGAGTTGCAGGAGGAACTCGACAGGGAGCACAGGCAGAGGGGGGCCCTGGGGACACAGTGTGGAACATTTGGGGGCTCGCTCCCTCTCCTGCAATAAATGAGAAATGAAGGGTCAACCTGTGGCTTCCCTTTCAAGAACTTTCTTTTCTCTCCAGTCCCATCTCCTGAAAGTTCCCAGCCTCCCAATCCCCTCCTCTTACCAAGGAGCTCTGCAGACCACTCCACCCTTCTTCTTGCTCTTTCTCTTAAAACTCCTCCCACCATCCACCTTCCACTCTTAGATTTTCTTTAATTTTCTATAAAGTGGCAGAACACTTACCAGGAGAAGAATGTGAGCAGGTGGTCTCCATGCTGCGATACAGAGTTGCCATGGCAACAGCTTTCCGACGGTGGTTGCACAGCTTGGTCATGTCCTCCTCTGATGCTGGCCCCACCCCAGCCCCACCCAGGGTCACCGGGGCCAAAGGGTCAAAGTTGAAAACCTGTAGGGTAGAAGGCAAGGGCAGGGACCCTGAGGGTGTGTTTCAGGAGCAGGGGCCGGAGGACAGCTCTGTCTAGGGGTTTGAGGGCTTCCCCCTTCAAGCAACTGCAACATAGTTGGGGGTGTCAAAGGCTACGTAGTCAGTGATTTGCGTTGTCTCTGGGCTTATCCCTGTACTCTCTGGCACCTATCATGACTCTGACCTTAGGGACATTGAGCGGACACTCCAGACCACACTTGCAGGTCCCATCTCTGAGGAGGTAGCTCCGGGTTTGTTCCAAGGAAGACAGCTCTGTGCCACTTGGGCTAGGAGAGGACAGGGCCAGAGATTAGGTGACAGTGAATCAGAAGATACTGCCTAACCAACACTTCTTAAGTTAAAGAATTTCCCAGGAAGGGCAAAAGGTAAGGGAAGTGACAAGACAGAGAGAAAATGGATGCAAGGCCCAGAAATACAGAGCAAAGACGGTGGAGGGAAGAAAAGGCTGAGGAAGAATGAAGAAGAGCAACAGGGTACCTGAGATCAGAACTTTGAAAGCAGAGGTGGGAAAAAGAAAACTTAGGCAAGCCAAGGACAGCCAGGTTGATCAAACTTGGGGAACTTTGAAGATCGATACCTGATATAGAGCACAGCACCCTCTCGTACACAGCGCTGCCAGCCGATGGGGACAGATGTGGCCACAGGGCCTCCAGCTCTGTCTGCTCCACTGCTTTCATTGCCCCCATTCATTGTGTGTAATCAGCTCCCGCGTGCCTAATAACACAGACATCCATGTGGGCACTAGGAGGATTAAACTGGGCTGGGTACCTAAGGGAGGACTCCAGGAAAGCAAAGGTTGTGGGGAGACGCAAGGAAACTCAGGGGAAGCCTCTGAGTGACAAGATGACACTCAGAGACCTAGGAAAATGAGAAGGAATCCTCTGCCATACTGCCATGGCTACCTGAACATCTCTGCAAACATCGTGAGGTCCAGTCTAAAGCCTGGGCTGCCAGCTTAGCCCACACCTGCAACACAGGAGAGAGGATCCTCAGGAATTAACCCAAATCAAAAGGAGCCACAGCCCAGGACACTCTCAAGAAGAGACCCCTAACAATGTGAGGTAAGTGCCTATAATGATTTCAGGGATCTGCTGGCTGAGTCCATAAACATCTATTCAAAGCACAGACCCTAAAGACCAGAGGGGATCAGGGTCTCAGCTCCCAGGGACCAAAGCACCCTGGCCCAATTTCCAGGCATATGGTGGGTCAGGCCCTTTGTCCTATTAGGGACACCTCTGTGTGTGAAGTGTGGGCAAATTCCCATAATGCCAGGACACTGAGAAGTTTTCCAGAGCGTTTGGCCTCCTCTCCCCGAGAAAGTTCATATAAAAAGTATAGACTGTCCCATGGGTCACCAGGCAATGGCCCAATTATCTGCTAGATACCAGCAAAAATCCCCCCTGCCCACTCCATCAGACAATCACTGATCTAGTTTATTTGGGGCTTGGGTGAAGTATCACAGCACTCCCCTCTCCCAGGATCCAAAGAAGCTCCTTATTCTCCAAGCCTAAGGCAAAGAAGATTCAGAACCTCCAATTCCCCTGGTTTCCAATTAGCTCCAAGACATGCTCTTCTGATATGCGGGACGCCCCTCAAACCTGCAAGTATTCTCCCCAACCTCACCATCGCTCCCACTCCACACTGACGGTTTCCAAACTTTCCCTCTCATAACAAGGCGCCCTGTCACCCAGACTGCTTCCCTCTGCTTGGGGAGGAGGGGAAGGCGCATGAACTAGGAAGGAACTTGGAGAGAGGGCGGGCAGAGGGTGGGCAAAGCACTGAAGGGAGGGAGGTGAGGAAGGCAGAAGTCAGGCAGTGAGAGAGAGAAACGGCGGGGGCAGGGGAGGGCGGGGGAGGGGGGAGGGGGCCGGGGAAAGGGGCCGAGAGAACGCAGAGGGGGGCAGAGGGTAGGGACCGGAGGGGACGGGAGGGGAGGGGAGGGGAGGGGGAGGGGAGGGGGAGGGGCGAGGTGGGGGGGCCGGGCCCCGCACTCACCGCGGCCCATGGTTCGGCCGGCCCCGCCCTGCGCAGTCGCGGCCCAGAGGGTGAGTGGGAGGGAGTGGGAGGAGGGTCGGTGGAGCCCGAGCCTCCGGTACGGCCCCGGCCGGTCCTAGCAGGAAGCGCCACCGCCGCCGCCGCCGCGGATCACCGAGCGGCCTCCCGCGCATGCGCCATGGGGGCCAGGGGCAGCCCTGGGGATTCCGTTCCCAGAAGGCACCGCGCAGGCTGCTACCGCCGCCGCCGTCGTTGCAGCCGCCACCGCCGCAGCCACCGCCGCCCGGACGGGAGAGGGGCGGGGCCCGGCCCCCGCCCAGCGGACAGCAGCGAGCCAACAGGAGGGGCCGCAGTGCGCATGCGGGAGCGCGCCCGCCCCTCCCCCACAACCCCCCATTAATCCCCAAGAGAACAAACACCCCACGCAGCCCCCCCGCCCTCCGCGGAAGGATCTGTGTTTCTTCCCAGGGCACTGGTGGCCAATCCCAGCCCTCCCCGGGAAAGGGTCCTTCGAAAGCCACAATCTGTTGGGGAGCCAGGAATGCCAGGTCCGGGAGGAGCCAGCCTCAAAAGATGAAAGTCGCGACTTGCCCTGCCCCGCCCCAAAGGCTTCCCGGGTAGGGTTCTGGGACTTGACCCGCCTACCCAGGTCAACATGTCATAACACGAACTCGGCCGGTCAAGTCACATGACCTCCGCCTGTCACTGACAACCTGGTCTGTCTTTAGGCCAGGAGAGACCATCTGGTCCAGCCCCCCACCTCCATTTACAGAAAGGGAAATGGAGGTCTGGAGCAGCGGTGCAGCCGGGCCACGGACCTGTCACTGCCACACCATCCAGCCACAACCGGTCTCAACAGTTTCTGCTTAGACAAACTCTGGCTGCCCCCATGAGGGTATGACAGGCCAGGTAACAGGCCACCACGAAGCCTCTTTTCATGATACCAGAAAAATACTTTGCATTTTGCGTAGTGCTTTCTACTTTTGTTCAAGTTGCTTCCAAGTTCATGATCAGAATACTCTCATTTTACCTTCACAACTTATCTTTACAAATGAGAGCGGTAGGATCGCCGGGGAGGCGAGGGACCTGTGGCCAGAATCTGGGCTCTTGACAGCCCGTCCAGGGAAGTCATGCGCTCAGCTCAGCTGCACTCACGTCCGGGCAGCTCGGCTCCCCTGGAGGTCGCGACCTGACACCGAGACCGGTGCGGGTGCCAGCTCAGCAGGGAGTCGCGGGATTTGCTCTCTGGGACAGTAAAAAGGAGGGTCTTGGTCTTTGAAAGACATAAAAGCACCACGAGGAAAAATAAGGGAGAAAACAGAATCGGCCTCACTGGGCAAAGAACATAGATTTAACACATCAGGGCTATCAGAAACTATATTATAAAAATCAAGGGTGCTCTTTTGAGAGGAGCAGATAAGTCTATCAAGCGCATACCAATACCTCGGCATCTTTTGGGGAGTTAGAAGGTTAAAAGAGGAGACCTCTTTAATAAAATGTCAATCCAGGTGGATGGATGCAAACTTTGAGAGTGATTTCAAGGCCTAAGTACCCAATCGCTTGGAGAAGCCAGGGAAAATGGGAGTCTCATAAGAGGAAGGTAAAGGGGATAACGCTAAGTGGGCGGAACAGCAGCTTCGGAGGGTACAAGCTGCAGTGAGATGCCACACAGCAGCCTGGGGGGCCCCACAGTTGATAGCCGTTGGGGCCGTTGGGTACCCGGAGCTGGCGCCCCGCCCTCTCTCCTCTCCCCCACCCACCGCACCTCCCACCACCCTCGTTGTCCCCTGCGCGTGCGCGCGCAGACACCGGTTGCCAAACATTGCATCATCCCCGCCCCCCTGCCCTCCCCTCCCCCCTCCACACTCCCCTCCGCGCGCGCGCATGACTCACCCACCGCCTCCGCGAAGCCGCGTGACCCAAAGCTACTTCCGGGTCCAACACGACGTCGACCTCCTGCCGAGAGGGCGCGATGGAGGCCGTCCTACGGGGTTCCTGAGTGGCGGTTGTGAAGAATGAGGCGGGGCCGATGCCGGTGTGCCGCCTTGTGATTGGTAGGCTTCTGGATCCCATCCCCGAGAGGAGGGCAAGGCCTTGCTAAAAGATCTCGGCTCAGCTCCCTCGAGGTCAGAGGCTTGGGTGTAAGACAGACAGCATATCATGTTGAAGATGAGCCGGTGGCAGCGACAGAGCCAAAATCAGAGCCGGAACCTGAGGAGAGAGGCGAGTACTGACTTCCCGTCTGTCCTTTACTTCCCCGTCTTCACGAATTTCGGTTGTCCCCTCCAAAGTTGTGGCGTCCGCCCTTTTGGATGAGGCCCCTCCCCTCCGGAGCGAATTTAGGGACCATCTAAAGGATGGAGAGAACCCTTTATTTAAGAGTGGCCCTTTTTCCTTTTCCTGTTCACCTCTCCGCAGAGCACGGCCTCTGCTCTGTGCTGCTACGCAGAGGGACCTCTGTTGCCATCCGGAAATTTTCTGTCGCCGACCCCAGGCCACCTCCTTTGGCCTGTTCTCTGACAGGCGGGGCAGCAGGACACATCCCCGCTTCGAAAAGACTGGGTGACCGTGGCTCAGGCAGTTCTGTCACTTTGCCACCGGCGGCATTCCCTCTACCCCACCCCCAACCCTGGCTCAGCTGCAGCGCCAGGGTGGGGAGGTGGAGTAGATGGGACCCCTGGAGCCTGCAGAAGATTGGAGAACCTTGAGACTGACACAGCTCTTTGGGAGCAGGGGTACGGATGGACCGGGATCGCGGATGGGTTTTCCCTTTTTCCCAGAGTTCACTGGGCCTCACACGAGAGCAGCCTGGTTCGCTTTTAGTGTGGAAAGCCATTTGGGGTTTCCCCAGCGTATCGCCCTCCTGGGATTGATCCCTGCCTTTTTCCCCTCCTGTCTCCCAACTAATCTCTGTGTAACCATTGCGTCAGGTCAGCCCCCTGTTTGGCTGTACAGCCCTCTAGACTGGGGCTCCACTGCTGATGAAAGCCACGTCCCACACAGGAGTTTTCCCCAAAGAGAACAGCCCTGAAGAGAAACACAGAGCAATATTGCATCTCTAGTCCCTAGGCACAGGCAGTTGCCGCTTTGCCTCTGGGTTTAGTTCTCCTTCCCTATTGTGAGACTAGGGGCGATTTTTTCATTCATTCCAAATATTTACTGAGCTTGGTACTATGTACCAAGCAGTTTGGAACTGAGGGTATATCCTTGAATGAGAGAAAAAAAAAACTAGTGTCATAGAACTTACATTTCAGTGGGAGGTATAAATGCCATGGAGAAAACTAAAGCAGAAAAGAATAATGTTCAGTGTAGAGTTTAGTTATCAAGTAGGAATTTCCTTACTGAGGTGCTAATTAAATAAAGATCCAAAGGAGGCCAGCCAGTGAGCCATGCAGATATGTGGAAGAGCTTTCCAGGAGTAACACCCAGAGCAGAGGCCCTAAGATGGGAGTATGCCTGGTACCTTTAGGAACAGGCCAGGGGACTATTCCTAGACACTAGAGCAGACAGGAAGGAGAATGGTTGAAGAAAGCTTAGAGCAGCAAAGATGCAGGTTGTGTAGAGCCGTACAAGTCAGTCTGAGAACTTTTAAGTCTTTTGGGGAAGGATAGGGGTTGAGACACAGCCTCTTACATAGTTCAGGGTGACCTTAAACTATGTAGCCCAGGCTAGCCTTGAATTCACAATTATCCTCTCCTGCCTTACCTTTCCAAGTGCTGGGATTACAGGTGTGCACCACCATGCCTGGCTGAATGTTAGTCGTTAATACTCATGAAATAAGTAAATCATTGGAAGTTTTTGTGTTACTTGGGGTTGAATTCTGGGACTTTGCACTGAGCTACATCTCCAGCTAATTTTTTATTCTAAGAGATGGTCCTGCACAATTGCCCAGGCAGGGTTTTAACTTGCAGTCTCCCTGCCTCAGCCTCCAGAGTGCCACAGATCTCACTCTCCTGGCTTGGAGGTTTTTGAGTAGAAGATTGACCTAAATTTTATTTTTGTTTTGTTTTTTTGTTTGGTACAGGAGATCGAACTCAGGTCCTTGCGCTTGCGCAGCAGGCAGTGGAACCACTGAGCTAAATCCCTGGCCCCTAAGTTTTATTTTTTTGAGTCAGGGTCTCACCATAAGTTCAGGCTGGCCTTGAACTCACTATGTAGCCCATGCGGGCCTCAAACTTGTGATCCTACCTCAGCCTCCCGAGTGCTGGGATTACAGGTGTGCACCACCACTCCCACCCCCGGCCTGACCTGTTTTAAAAGGGTTGGGAATATAGCTCCATGGTAGAACACTTACCTAATACACAGTGTGCACCACTGCAAAAATAACTGAATGAGTAAAAGGCTCACTCTAGCTGCTATATTGTGGATAGGGCTGGTGGAAGGAGAAATGGGAGAAAAAAAATCCCTCAAGGTTTCTGAAATAATGCAGGGTAAAGATGGTAGTAAATTGGTGTACATTTAGAAACAGTGGAATTGGTAAGAAATGCTTAGGTATGGAGTATTTATAAAAAATGTGTTAACTTGGGCCGGGGATTTAGCTCAGTGGTTTTGCCACCTGCTGCGCAAGCACAAGGACCCGAGTTCAATTCCTGGTACCAAAAAAAAAAAAAATTTGTTAACTTGAGAAAATGAAAAAATGTAAACAAAGTCTTTGTAAATAGGGAGGGCTGGAGGGGTTGAAGGGAGGGCAGGGGAATGGGGAAAAAATAAGAACCAAGAGAGATTATATAAAGGTACAAATTTCCAATGATGAATGTCATATTATATACCTAAAATGTACCAATAAAATTAATTTACAAAACATAATATAAAAAAATGTGTTAACCTGGGGATGTTGGCACACACCTGGAGACTGAGGCAGGAGGATCACAGCAAGTCCAAGGCCAGCCTCGGTTACAGTGAATTCAGGACCAGCCTAAACTACATAGCGAGACCCTGTCTCAAAAAAAAAAGAAAGAAATTGCTAATAGTGTGGATTGTGGGGTATGAGGGGAGAGGAGTCAAGGGTGATACCAAAGTTTTTGGCTTGAGGATCTAGTTTCCTTTATCAAGACAGATAGGGACAGCCTTGGACATCAGTAAGATTGTTTTTGGATATAATCCAAGTGCCTATTAAATATACAAAAGGAGATGGCAAGTGGGCAATAGGCATCAGAGCTAGAGATCCCAGGAGAGGTCCTAACTGGAAATGTACATTTGGAGGATGTCAGTGTGGGAATGGAGTTAGGAAAATACCTATGTTTGTTTCCTTTTCTGTAGTTCTTACCCTGGCAGGCATGAGACCTGCCTTGAATTTAGAGAAAGCTGAGTTGGCCAGTACTATTATGTAATCGGGACTACAAATGTCAGTAACTAAAAATAAATAGTTGAACTTTCCTCTATCCTTGGAAATGGCCATAGGACCCTTTAATTATCCTTATCTCACAAGACTGGAAGTAAAGAGGGACCAACAGGAGGCCTACCTCTCCCCCTTCCAAAAATGGCTGACATTTGTCTTTGTTCTCCACAGTCTTCCAGGAGAAAGTGTATTTTCATACATCACCACACCTGAAAGCAGGTAAATTTTAACTCAATCCTTTTCTAAAACCAACTCATAAGGAAAGCTACTTAGGCTCCCTTGCTGGGATCCTAGGAAATTATTAAAGGACCTAGCCAAGGTGGAAGAGGAAGGTTTGAATCTGTCAGACCATGTCTATCCTGGCCTACCCCATAATAAGGTCAAAAATCACTATTTTGAGAGCATTTCCTAATTGAAAGCTGGCTCTCAAAGTCACCCCAATAAAGACAATTGGTTTGTCTTACTAATCCTTAGTCCCCATCAAGGTTAAACAGATCAAAAGACCATTTGCCCAAGTTCCCCACATAGAAGAAAGAAGCACAAATGGTCTGGTCATTGTCCCCAGAAACTACCAGTGGAGTTCTCAGTGGACTGAAGACTTTCATTAGGATCCCATAAGAATGTATATCCAGGTACTTTGCTTCTTTAAGTCCTGGGCAGAGAGCAAGGAAAAAACAACAGTATTAAGCTATTGGCATAGCTCAGTGAGAGAACATGCTTGGGATCCACAAAGCCCAGGATTCAACTCCCATAGTCACCCCACCCCCAAGAGAAGGAATTACTGGTATAAACTAAAGACTGGTAAACTTCAAAGAGCCAGAGAGTGAATAATTTAGGTGTTTAGGACATATTATCACCAATATTCATCTTCATCTCTGCTGTTGTAGCATTAAAGGAGCTATAAAACATATGTAAATAAACAGATATGGCTGTGTTCTGATAAAATTATATCTACAGAAACAGGAAGACTAGTCTGCCAGCCTGTGGTATAGACTGTTTCTAAGTGGAGCTTTTATTCTAAATGTATAGTTTTCCAGAACCTGATCCAACTGCAGAGATGGCAGCTGAATCATTGCCTTTCTCCTTTGGGGCAGTGTCCAACTGGGAGCTGGAAGCCTGGTATGAGGACCTGCAGGAAGTCCTGTCCTCAGATGAAAACGGGGGTAACTATATCTCACCCCCTGGAAACGAAGAGGTGAGAGTGCTAGTCCTAAAGTTGAGAACAAGTGGGGGGAGGGAGGGGTGCATGCCTGTAATCCCAGCACTGAGGAGGCTGAGGCAGGAGGATTGCCAAAGAGTTTGAGGCCAGCGTGAGCTACATAGTGAGTTCCAGACCAGTCTGAACTATGTGTGAGACTCTATCTCAGATAAAATAAAAATAGAACTAAAGCTGGGAACAGGGGTGATGTTACCTTTCCCTTATCAACTAATACCCTCCTCATTTCCTTGAAGGAAGAATCAAAAACATTCACCACTCTTGACCCTGCATCTCTTGCTTGGCTGACTGAGGAACCAGGACCACCAGAGATCACAAGCACCTCTCAAAGCCCTCGCTCTCCAGATTCCAGTCAGAGCTCCCTAGCTCAGGAGGAAGAGGAAGACCAAGGAAGAACCAGGAAACGAAAACAGAGTGGCCAGTGGCCAGTCCGGGCTGGAAAGCAAAGAGTGAAGGAAAAAGAACAAGAGAATGAAAGGAAAGTGGCACAGCTAACAGAAGAGAATGAACGGCTCAAGCAGGAAATTGAGTGCCTGACCAGGGAAGTAGAGGCAACGCGCCGAGCTCTGATTGACCGAATGGTTAATCTGCACCAAGCATGAACAAATGGGGCCATCACTCCCAAGCTCTGGCTACCACCTACCTTTCCCAGAAGTAGCTATTAACCACCTTCATACCAGTGCCAATGATGTGACCCTCAAATTCTTGGGGTAGACAAAAGGAAAGGGTCTCAGCTTGTATATAGAGGTTGTACATTTATTTATTGTCTACATCCATTAAAGTGACTTTATGAACGTTTTCTCACTTTTTCTTCTTGCCTGTAGGAGTTTCAAGGGGTTTCCCTTCAGCTAGAGCCAACTGTTTCTTTAGATCCAAGAGTTTAGCCACCTCTGCAGCAACCTGGTTCTTGTCTGCCTTTTGTGCTTTCAGTTCTCGGACAATGTTGCCCTAAGAAAAGGAGGGGAGGGGGTAATGAGACCACAAAAGGACCTGTTTAGAATTCGGCTTTCCCAGGCTCCCATAGGGTTAAGCTTCATACCTGTTTTGTGACTTCATCCATCAGTGTTTGAATCTGCTGTGCTCCAGCTGTTTTAACAGTCTCTACAACTGCTGGCATGGGTGATACTTTTGCCTGGAGAACAACAACAGAGTTATCACTGGCTGCCATAAATATCCTCTGACCTCCAGTTTTAGATAGCATCTCAGGGAAAGTGTTTACCTTCAACTCCAAGGACTCTTCTAGCTAAGATAGGAAAGAAAAAGTAAGTGAGGAAGCAGGAAGGCCAAAAGATGGAAAGAGTGATGAGTAAGGGATACTTGGGGAAACTAAAGAGGTGCTGGTGTAGCTGGGTGAGGGCATAGTCTAGCTCTCTCACCTGGCCCCCTCCAAAACGCTGCTTCAAACTTTCAATCTGGTCATTTTCCAATTTTTGGAACAAGGGACTGACCTGTGAAAAAAGAATTGCAGAATCATTCACTGGTTACATGTAAACTCTACCACACTATACAGAGGGCCTCTCCAACCCCACTTTTTCTTTTCTTTCATAAATTCTTTTATTGGTACATTTTAGGTATACAATACATTTACATTTATCATTGGGAACTTGTACCTTTACATAATGTATCTTGGTTCTTATTTCTTCCCCATTTCCCTGCCCTCCCTTCACCCCCTCCTCACCTCCCTATTTACAAAGAGTGTGTTTCCATTTTAACATTTAGAATAACACTGAACAAATAGCTACTGGTTTCAGGAACGCGTTTAATACTAAGCCCAAAGTATCATAGGATCAAAGAGAATTTAACAATTTGAGGTTCATCCCATACTTTGGCTATGCTGCATTTTCTTTGTCCGCTACTAAGTGATCATGGTGTTTCTTAAACCAGTGATATATATATATATATTTTTTTTGGTACCGGGGATCGAACTCTGGGTCCTTGCGCTTGCGCAGCAGGTGGCAAAACCACTGAGCTAAATCCCCACCCTCTTAAACCAGTGATATTTATAGACCAGGTACTAGGTTCTGGCATGAAGACAATAAGGATATGCAGATAATACTTGGCTTGCAAACAGATACTAAGGACTTAATGTCAGAAACAAAGCCCAAGTACAGAGTGAGGAAGGGGTTCAGAGAAGAGCTATTAAGAACTCCTGGGCCAGGGATTTAGCTCAGTGGTTCTGCTGCCTGCTTCACAAGCACAAGGTCCTGAGTTCAATCCCTGGTACCAAAAAACAAAAAAAGCTCCATCCACCAAGCAGAACTGGAGAGATACAAGTCTTAATTCCATACCATAGACTATGACAAAAGCATAAATATTAAGACAGGCTGGCCCTTCTGCCCTAGACTTACTGTGCCAATCTGGTGCCCTGCTGGTAAGGTACACACGAAGTCTGTTAGAAGGACACTGCAGACTGGAAGTGGGAGCTGCAACTGGGCCTGGATGGTGGCACTAACTGTGGGCATGTAAGGCTGGAGCATGACGGACAGCAAGGCAGCTATGTTTACTGCCATGCCTGTCACTGTGCCTGCCCGCTGCCTGAGGAAGGAATGAGATAAGTCAAAACTTCAAGAAGGACACAGCCTGACATCTACTTAGTCCTGGCAGCCAGCCCTATCCCCTTAATGTACCTGTCACCCTCACTGCCTTTTATCCGCTTCCAGGGCTCATTGACCTGAATGTACTGGTTGCCATGTCGAGATACTGTGAGGATACTGCGTAAGGCATCCCGGATCCTGGGGAAGGGGGCAGATCTCAACATGTCAGTGTCTCGTCACTGAGATGAGACAAGAAGTGTGGATTACTCACCGAACCTTCTCTAGCAGCTGGTGATAATGCCGGAGCTCCAACGTGATATGGGCCAGCAGACGCTGATCATCAGGGGTAAGCACCATCTCAGGCACAAAGCCCCCAAAAAACTTAGACACAAACATCCCAGCCCTTGATGGGAGTAGGAAAGAAGAGGAAAAAAGTTATTTTCTGGTCTCCTTTTAGAAATTTGACCCAATTTCTACAACTCTTCTTTCTCTCAGGATTTCTACCCAGAACTGACACCTTCTGGCTCCTCAAAATAGAAAGCAAAGCTTAAATTCTTAGGTTTTGGTTTTTATTCTTTTGGTATTTTGAGACAGGGTCTTGGTATGTAGTTCAGGCTGGTCTTGAACTCACTGTGCAGCCAAGGATGGCCTTGAACTCTTGTTCCTCTTGCATTGGCCTCCCAAGTACTGGGATTACAGGTGTGGGCCACCACATCCAGCACAAAATAATAATTCTTTGTTCTCTATCTCCTCCAAGAATTTGATTCTTGACAAAGTTTAACAACTGTACTTTTTTTTTTTTTTTTTTGGTACCGGCGATCAAACTCAGGACCTTGTGCTTGCAAGGCAGGCGCCGGAACCACTGAGCTAAATTCCCAGCCCACAACTGTACTTTTTTTTGACGGGGACAATGACCCGAGTTCAAGCCCCGGTACCAGAAAAAAAAAATTATTTCCAAATGAAGTTGTAATGTATGATTGTGATCTACTATCAAAAAAGTACCCCAGGGCCAGGGATTTAGGCTCAGTGGCACTAAACCTGCCTTGCAAGCACAAGGTCCTGGGTTCAGATACCCAGTACCAAAACAAAAAAAAAGTACTCTAATGAAGACTTACCTATTAAATGTGGCTGATGACCAAACCTGAAAGGTTAAGTAACAGGACTAAGCTAAAGACCCTGGGCTCCAAGAGAGGGACTGAAGAACCCTAAGCCATGAAGGACATTTCTTTGGATTACAGAATGACTGTAATAGCTACCAACAGTGGAATGTGAGCCTAAAGTAACAACTCTGAAAAGTATAGCACAACCATCCTATCCCTACACAAAAACAGCTTTTTTCAGCCAAACTTTTCTGGTCTGCAGGTGAATGTTTTATCAGTAGAAATCCATTCTGGGAAGAGCTAGGCATGGTACCTCATGCTTGTAATCCCAGTGCTTAGGAGGCTAAGGCAAAAAGATAGCAAGTTTGAGGCCAGCCTTGAACACAGTGAGACCCTGTCTCAAAACAAAACTCCATTTGTGGACGAACTCTGCAAAATCACACCTCTAGCTAACTACCCTCAAGCATTTGTGGGATACTATGTTCTGGAAGCAGGTTCCTGTTGATAGAAACCAACTTTCCACATATCCTTCTGTCCCTCACAGCCTCCTGTCCACTTATTCTCTCCACATTCTTATCTCTGCAAGGAGAACTGGCCTCTTCCCAGCTCATCTGCTGACTGACCCCTCACCAAGACTCACCTGTTGATGAAGTTGCCCAGGTTGTTCAGCAGCTCTGAGTTATTCTTCAGCAGCATATCTGTCCAGGAAAAGGCACTGTCCTGGCCCTCAGGTCGAATGTATAGCAGATAGAAGCGCCAGATGTCAGCAGGGATCCCTGTGTCCTGGGCCATGTCTCCAAACACTCCCACACCCCGGCTCTTAGAGAATTTCCCATCCTCATAGTTCAAGTACTCTGGACAGAGATGAAGAAGAACCATCTGCTCAAATCACATTCTTTCCCTTTGTAACCTACTAACTCTTCTTCCCTTTTCTTCAACCTCAACAGTAGGTATCCAAGAACACAGCACATTGAGTAGCTGGTCTACAGAGAACCCAGGAGTACCTTTCTATCCATCTGGCCCTTTTTGCTTATACTTATGCAGGGGTTTTTTGCATTGTTAATTTCTTCAGGTTATTGTTTCCTTCCTCTGGGTGAAGTTTTCATGTTTTAAGCATTTCCTAATTTCATCTCAACTCCTAACTCCAGAACTTTCTACGATCTTCTTCCAAGTACTCCTTCAGCCCTCATTCCCTAGTACCATTCCATCTGCAGTCTTCTGGGGATACTTACCTGTAGCAATGAGGTGCTTGACCAAGGTGTAGTTGTCCTCAGCTCCAAGGGCCGAACAAGGAAAGACTAAGCCATGAAAGGGAACATTGTCTTTGGCCATGAACTGGTAAAGGTCCACCTAGAAGAATATAGTTGAGAGACAGGTCTCCTCAGGCTTTCTTCAAAAGCCCAAGAAATACCAGATAATCATAACACCACCACTCCCCACCCCACACCTTCCTCACTGACAGGCTAACTAAGAACTGCTTACTTGCTCTGGGTTCTTCCACCATCTCTCCCATTGGTCTGTGTAGTTGGCTGTGATGGACAGGTAGCCAATAGTGGCATCAAACCAGACATAGAATACCTGGAGAGTAAAGAGGAAGGAAACATGGTAGGGACCAACCCAAAGCTTCAGGGACCAACCCAAAGCTTCAGGGGGCAATAAGACATAATCTACATCCATTTTGTTAGTCCACAGTCTCAACCCTCAAGTGAATAATTTGAGACATGAATAAAGTTTAAGTTTTACCTTGTCCTCAAAACCTTCTAAGGGTACAGGGGTCCCCCATTTGAGGTCACGGGTTATACAGCGTGGCTTGAGGCCATCCCGAAGCCAAGACCGAATGATAAACCGGGCATTGGGTGTCCAGTCACTGCCAGGTAATGTCTTCCCCAGCCACTCCTCCAGTGTCTTTTCCAGCTGAGATGACAGAGAAAGAGGGTTGTCTTAGACAATCTCATACATAGTTAACGTAAAGACATATATAGCTGTTTGGAAGCACAGTTTGGTAACGTGATCAAAAGACTCAGGACTTTGACATAGCAATTCCATTTCTAAGGATTTACTAACAGAAACTCATTCAACAGAAGTATTCACACTGTACAGATGGGCCAGGTGTGGTGGTGCATGCCTGTAATCCCAGCACTCTTAAGAGGCAGGCAGGAGGATG